TATATATATATATATATATATACATATATATATATATATATGTGTGTGTGTGAATGAAAAGAGCTAGTTTTCTTGCAGGCTGGCTCCAGGTCCTTTCACCCTTTCACCATTAATTAGTATTAGCATAATGACTACTATGTAACCCCGATCTATTGCATATAATTTTACTCAGCATTTTTATATACTTTTTGGTCTAGTTGTCTACTTTGAACAATTATGGGCTAAATTATTAGAAAACAAGTTTAGATCTCACATGTATTTTGTTTGGGTTTTGTTTTAGATCCCCATTTGGAATAGTTTGCTCTTATGATTCTGACCTCTGATCCAACCAAATTAATCCGTTGCGTAGTAAAACCTTAATTCCTCACAGGGAATTAAAGGTAGAATATAAAAAGTTACACTGAATCATCATTTGTCAAAGTGGGTACAAATTTAAAATATCACTGTAGGGAATCTCCTGGAAACAACTCAATTTCCTTCCCGAAAAAGTTGATTCTAGATTTTTTCTAGTACAAAGCAACCAAAGTTGCTAGATTACTGTATGAATGGCAAACGGGTGAAATGACCAGCCACCTCTAAAACCCATATAAATGTAATGCTAGTGCTGGACCAACATTAAACATTAATGGGTTTGTAGCCGCCTAGAAAGTTAATGTCAAGGTAAACGGCTTTACTGTGATTGAAGGAACTGCTTGGTGAGCTCAAGTTGCAAGTCTGAATGCAAGAAGCTCAGTATTTTGAATCACTATTATTAATCTCAGGTTAATCTTTTTGTATACTAGGCTGTCACTGTTGTGTGCTTTTATTTTTTTTATGTTGGTCTTTAAACATTTGAGACTATATGATTTGATAACCAAATAGTTAAGAGGGTATTTCAGCCTCTCTCTGCTGTGCACTCCTGCCACGATTTTCACTTAAGGTCAAAAAATAGGACTTAGGTTTTAGACAAAGATAGGTTCTTCTAAATGTCCACTTTGAATCTTTTTGTGGGGATTTTAGTTTTTGGATTTTTTCTGTGTAGTTCTGTTTATGAAACAATTTATAACAAAACCATGAATCTTTTAAAGGTTAAGAAAAACATTACTGGTGCTGTATCTACATATAACAGGTAACTTTATATACTTTTTTTCGTTGAATGATATCTTCCAAATTCTTAAATACTAGGTGAGGAAAACACCAGAAACAGTCATAAGTACCAGTTGGTGTGAGATTATCATGGCATTAATAATACAGGATCAAAATAAGGTTTATTTTGCAACGTTTATTTTGTTTTTTCTAATATTTTCTCTCCACTGTTGCTACATAGATGCAAGGTATAAGGGCTTGCTGCAATGTACCCAATGTAACGACTGTCACCAAACGCTCATCCAGGGGGATTTGATGCTGCAGTACAAATAAATGACTGGATATATGATCCATGCATGATGCTTTTCTTTAGAAAAAATAAATAAAAGCCTTTTTAACCACTCTGTTCAAGTGCCTTAAAAAGACACGAGTTGTGAATTGGCGCTATTTAAATAAACTGAAATGAATCAATGACCATAATAATTGACGCAAAAGAGATACTTTTGATAAGTTAAATTTATACCATGAATTTACATGAACTAATAAGTTTTTTTCAAATGGTAAAGCAGCCATTCTGCTGTAAACTTTGCTATTACAGTTATAATAATGTTGTCTATAATAGCTGTTCATTATTTTGTTTTTAATCACCTTCTATTTTCAAGATGAAATGAAACACATGAATTGCTTTTTTAATGCATGGTATAACCGGCCAGAAAAATCTACAATCCCTCTGGCACTTTCTTTGGCATCCAATTAGAACTTTGATCTGTGAGACCAGGTGACACAAAACTAGTAGTTCATAAATGATAACTTTTTTAACTCTTTGTATATGTTACTTTAGATAACTTTCCCATTCCTAAGCAGCACAGTCTAAAATAGTAATTTAACATTAAAGTGAGTCACAAATAGAATTGCACCAAAAAGTTTGTATCAAGCAGGTTCATGTTTCCATTCCTTTGAGATCGCTTTTATTTTATCACCAGGTTAATAAAATCTGGAAAACTTAGCCAAGATATCTTCTATTCTTTTACCTATATCTTTATCTTTAAAGACTTTATCAGTGATAACACTGTGATTGTTGGGTGGGTTTGGCAACAGAGAGAAGCTGATTTTATTTTACTACAACCTTACTGCTGTTTTTGGCTGCTGTTGTTTTTCAGTACCTTTACATTGGTGCCTATAATGATGCCGTCTTCCTCTTCTATCTCTTTACATGCTTTCTTTAAACCTTTTCTACTCTGTTGGCACCCTTCGCCTCTTCTACTCCCTCCTCTTCTGATATAATCCATCCAATCAAAATGCACTATGAAATCCTTCATCGTGTTGTCCATCCATGCTGCGCCTTGACATGTGGTGGTGCTGTGATGATGATGATGGTGATGGTGTGTGTTTCGCCCCCATGGCTCTGCCCAATAAAACACACAACCAACCACCACCTCCTTCTTCTGAAAAATATGTTTAACCCACTCACGATTTAACCAAAAAAAAAAAAAAAAAAAAACTAACTAAAAATAATCTTCCTCACCATTCATCTGTCTACATCTTCGCACATGTAGAATCTGGTTGGTTTGTAATTTATTTCTCAAAGCTTCCTCCTGCACTCTCATTGGCCATGCAGTTCCCTGATTCATTTCTTATCCCATCCACCTGATCTCTCATGCGTTGACCTTTACCCCCAGTGCATGTGCTTCTTAGATGAGTCCTCTTAACTTTGCCTACAAATAAACTCTTGATAAGGTCTAAATAACCTTAGAGGGGAACAAAACTTTTTTATAGCCATTTTTATTCCATTAGATTCCAAGGTTACATCTGACATCTTAAATAACAAACATTCAAGCTGATAGCAGTTTAAAGGTAGATCTTAGCACCTGAAAAAGACCATGTTGGAGATATACAGACGTCTAGGTAGCCAGCTTAAAATACCTAATGCTATGAATGTAAAGTAATTACAATGTAATATAAAATGTAAAAAAGTGTAAAATAATATTACAGTGGTAATAAGCGGTTTGGTTGTTCTTGTTTCAAGTAATAATATTATTATTACTGATTACATACAAAATAAAAGCAATGTTTTCCAAAGGGCATCTGCTGAAACCGCTACAGATACAAATACTATTAAGAAATGTTAATTTATGTCTGTCAAAAGTATTTGAACCTGAAAAGACAATTATAGCATAATGCTACCCTTAACCTGTATCCACAGAACTTATCTACACCTTTAATGTTTCTGGCGCTGTTTGTTATTTAAGATTTATCTGGGATTCTGTTTATGTAAAAAAAAAAAAAATAAAAATTAACAGAGAGGTAGTCACTCCTTTTTAGTAGTTAGTGTTGTAAAAGGTTTGTGAAATGAAGTATAATAGACTTATCATGCAGAAATGTAGACAAAAAAAACAAATTTGCAGCAAATGGCGCTGCATGCATTGTATTCACATCTATATGATGCACATTCCTGGTGTGTGATGGAGGGCTAGCTCAGTACATAAGGAATACAACAGTCTAAAAACTGAAACCTTAAAATATCACCCTGACTGAGGAATCTACTCTGTCTATAAAGATGGTGAAAATAGAAAGTTGTGTTTTGAAATCGTAATGTTTGGAGTTAACAGAAAGAAACCATAACATACATTTTGACTTAAAATAAATTCTTCCTTCCTTAATTAAGACTCTGCCCACCAGGCTCCATGTTATCCAGGGCACTGACACATTAACAGGGCAATTAACTAAGACAAAGATGCATCCTATCTCATTCAGGGGATAATTGCACAAATACTAAATCTCTCTGGGTCCTGCAAAAATTTTCTGAAGTTTAAAGCTTAAAACATATCTAATAAAATGCATCCACCTATCAAGGACTTTGTTGCTTATCTGATTTAATTTGATAATTCAGTCATTTCAATCTTTTGATATAAAAATAGAAAAATACAAGCAGGAAGTCAAATTGAGTAGAGGATTCTATGCATACTGAAGGTATATTTTAGTAATCAAATCCTACCAGACATTGTTTATCTCTTTGTGACGTATAAGCTGACATATTGCACCTAATGGCGCATGCTTTAAGGTTCCAATGGGCTCAGCCCCATTGGCCTTCACTGGCCTGCATGTAGAGCAGCTATCAAGAAGTATGCTGCCATGCTATGTAATGTTTGCCCTTAGGCTGCATGCTAATTCCTCCATCTTCCCCTCCCTCTTTTCCTCCCCATGCTGGTTTTACAGCCTTGTCTGTCAACCATCAAAATGCAAAAACCCTCATTGAAAGTTTGGGTGTTTAGTATATTATAGTTTATTATTCATACTGTAGGCTGAGTGCATTGGCCAAGATCTGATACCGATCTGATACTGCCGTTGAATAAATGAACCATATACCTTGACATAAGCATTGTTAAAAAAAAAACTAACAAATTAACACAGATAAAAATAATCACTAGCTGCTTGATCTGTGTCATTCATCCAATAAAGATCCAGCTAATAAGTCAATATCGGAGCTGATATCCGATCCAAGTATCGAATCATTCACATCTCTAATTATCAGTCTCTAATGTTGTGAAAATCTGACCTTCTGATATCAATTGCTCCTGGTTCAATCTAACTTTAAATAAATATCAATGATAAAACATTTATTATGAAGTTAATACATTAAAAACCTGTTTCTCTGTCCATATCTAAAAATATCTTAAAGCAGTAAAATCCTTCAGGTTATATGACAGATGTTTGTAAACCCTAAGAAAAATGTGAATGTCTTCATTATTTATTTTGCAAGAGAGACTATAACTCACTTATGAGAAAATACATATTATCATATGGCATATGTTTGTACAAGATAAATTCTAACTAAAAAAGAAGCTATGCAAATGATTTATTATTAGAGAGAAAACAGCTCTGGTTTACTGGTATGTGCTACTTTACCTTCATAAATTTTCACTTACTGATTTTTACTGTTAAGGAGTCTTTTGTGATCAATGTTTGATTTGTTTTCATTTGTAGAGGAGTCCAGTTTAAACTTGATATTTAAGAGAGCAGGCCCTTTTGTACACAGCTTCATATATGAACAGGATTGAACTAGTCATTCAAATCGGAGCTATGATCTACAGGTTGAAGTTTACATGTTTAGCACAGTTAGTATAACTGATAGAGAATCTGTGTCTTGGATTTTGAAAACACTGCAAAAATGTCATAATCCAGAACCAAATAGGTTTAAAAAGTGATTCCACTGTGAGATAAAACAGAGGACTTTTAACTATTATACTATTAGCTTGTATTACTAGCTGACATACAGTATATATTCTGTGTTGTTGCTGTTACAGCCAACATACGCCTGTAGATATTTAAATTTCTAGAAACTATTTGCTCCTGTGATTCTTGTTGTTTGTCTTACTATATATGCTGTAATAATTCTGAAAATAACTCCTTGTATTCTCATCTATAAAAATAAAAAAACATATACTTTCCAGATTAATAATTAACCAAAACTTAAGGTCTTTGCTTTAGAATTACTCATATGGTATTTGATTGTTTTTGTCCTAGGGCTGAAATAATCTATCGGATAAATCTTGGTTAATCAACTCTTAAAGATAAATGTTAACTAATTTGGCAATTAAATACAACCAACTAATAGTAATCACCAAGACAAAGCTGCACAAATGATTTTCTTGTTTTCTGTTGAGGAAGGAGACGATTGTCTGTAATTTTCCTCAATCCAGAAGTCCTCAAGTCATAGTTTTAGATTCAACTGCTTTGTTTTTTTTTGTTTTTTTTTTCCCTATTTGATTAATAAATGAGTTTTTAAAAATTCATTATTAATATATCTATAAAAATCATTTGTTTTTTATACACACTTTCATATATACATGTGAGCGTGTGTATAGGAGTGTGTGTTCACATGCATGCGGTTGACAGGCAAAGTTTTCTGTGTTCCAGTCTGTATGTGGCCTGCTTGCATCAGCGATCAGTGCATTTGATTTAAAAAAAATACAGTATAAGATTGGATAATGACCTTGAAACTCTTTAAATCAGAAACCACCTTTCTTTCCCACTTATTTCTGTTTTGTTTTTTTTTTTGTTTTCTCTCTCTCTGTTATTTTCACTTATATCTAGGTACTTGTATGTTTGAGATGAAATACATTTTATGGGTTTTGACTTTTTTTGTTCTTCTCTCTCCTTCATTATTATTTTCAATTATGCCTTTGTTCTTCCATTGTTGTAGATAATAACTGTAAAGCTATTGTTGCTTGGTAAAACTGACAATTTGCCATGTTTGTGCTACAGAATAATTTCATCAACTTGAGCTTCCTGAGGCTTTTTAGAGCAGCTCGCCTCATTAAGCTCCTGAGACAGGGGGAAACAATACGGATCTTATTATGGACATTTGTCCAGTCCTTTAAGGTATTTAGGCATGAATAAATAAAGGACACATGGCCACAAAACATTCCTCATGAGAATGACCAATATTTTCTTTCCCTGTTTTTGTAGGCTCTGCCATATGTGTGTCTACTCATTGCCATGCTGTTCTTCATCTACGCAATCATCGGCATGCAGGTTAGTACTGATGTTCAAAAAGGTTTGGTGAAAATTACGCATTTCTATTTTCTGCCCCACCATGTTCGGGAATGAAACACTATTACCTGCTGTTGAGGTAGTTTAAACTCTCTTTTACAGTGTTTTTTTTCTTTTTTGAAGATTGTCTTTGAAACATTCTAGGATCTCAGATAACTAAATAAATCATTAGTCCCTCAAACAGAAAAGAGAATTCCCCAGTTTTCTTCTAATGGCCCTGTTACACCTTGACGATTTAGACAACCTATACCTGACGTACAAAAAAATCTGGCAAAAACGCTGTCATATATTGGATAAGTTATGGGTAAGTTTTGTATAAGTTATAAACACGCTGAATTATGCTTAAATATGCTGAAACCATATGCAAGTGTATGCCATAATTAACAGGTACGTTATCTGATCGTTGACATAAGTTACTCATAAGTCGTGGCATCTAGCTTATCCAAAATATACGAGTAACTTGTGCATAACTTATATGTAACTTATCAAGAACTTATCAAACTTATCGCATATCAACGTATCTGACATGTTCCAGACAACCTCTGAATGTGTTTCTAATATACAGCTACCATATAACGGCGTATTGGCAGCGTTTTGGTATGAAAAGGGTTTCCAGGAGGAAAACGTTGCTTCTCCTCCAGACTGCATCCACATCATATGGTTTGCGAGAAGATTAGTGTGATGGATCCTCTCTGCGTTCATGCCCACGTCGTTGTCCCCCTCAGGACATACTGAACACTCATTTCATGGGCATTGTGCTGCCACGTGTTATGCATAAGTCAGGCTGTCATTGGACATACGCTCTGGACTCGTTAAAAATACACTATGCATAGGAATAAAATTTTAAAAATACATAGAAAGTTCAGCGAATGCTAGCGTTTTAGAATATTCTGGGATGTCAGGCATATATGCTGGCTTAATCGGTAAGGTGTGACAGGGCCCTAAACACATAAATGACTATATGTGTAAAAAGTCTCCCAATCTTTGTGGCACTAGGAGTACATTTTGGTTTCAATATTCTTGTGTTTCAGCATTTTTTGGTTGTTTTCTTAAAGTGTGCTATGCAGCTGACTTCAGCATAGGCCCACCTCCTGCTGGCCCAGCAGTATGGAAGCTAACAGCGATGCTGCCACTGCATTGTTAACAACTCAGAAACTTTTTTTTCTATATTTAACGACTTTTCAGACCCCTGTAGTGACTGGTGACAAATCAAGCTACTTTTTACAGTTTTGTTCGATGCAACAAATGCAACAATCTCTCTGATTATTGCATTGTCTTCAATGAAGTTAGTGAGCAAGCCCCTCCCTTCACCAAAGCACAGAGACTCAGACGCAGCAGCTGCAGCCTGTGTTTGCAAGCAGAGCAACTCTCTCTGTTTCCCCATTGAACACGAGTCACATATGTGCAAAGCTTCCACTGACGCCCCCTCCGTTAATAAAAAGAATGTATCTAGAAAATTTAGCATATTTTTTTCTTTAAAAGTGTTGCAGTAAAATAGAACAACACGTGGCAGTGGTTTCCACGGCTCTGGCTGGCACGCACCCAGCATCTCAGGGTGGAGAAAAACGATTTTTTTTTTTTTTTCATCATATTTCTATGCTTTCACAACCTGAGAACACATTTATTTATACATGACATGGTCTTTATAACTAGATAAGAAGAATAGATGTTTTCAAGACAGGTTACCTATGGCCAGAAAATCAACATACTTTAACGGTTTTAAACTGGGGGAGGGAATACTTCAGGTTAGAGTCTTGCTAGCAGGCCTGATGACTGTTAAACTCTCCTGTTGAAACAGGAATAATGTTCAATCTTCCCATACCCATAAAGTATTTACATTTACTTTAGTAGCCTTTGGGATGGAAAAGGGCTAGTTTGAGTACCATGGTTTTAACTTTTACTTAATCAATATTGTTGGGAAGTATCAAAACTCCTATTTGAGTTTCATTTCTGGCTACTCCACACACCATGAGTATTTAGAGGTGTTTGGAGATGAAGTGAATTCATTAAACAAAAGATCTTATCAGTGAAAGTTCTTCACATTTTAACTTGTATACATGACCAACTGTAAGAATTGGTTTAATAATTTTAACATTGAAAATTTCACTTATAAAAGTGTTTCTTCTGCCTGCTATTTTTCATCTGTATTAATTGTATTTATTTGTATTATTTTTATTTTTACGCTGGTGAAGATTCACAGTCATCCAGGTCATAGTCATTCCAAAAAAAAAGAAGAGCAATTGAGTTAATCCATTCTCTGCCCCTGTGCAGGAGAGCGGAAGATCTTGTCTATTCAGCCAGGTCAATATTTCCCTTTTATGACCCCCTTTCAGACACTTATGCGGGTATGGGGCATTGCGGGTTGAGAAAAGAAGCCAAACTACCCCCACTCCAAAGGGGTGGACCCCTTTGTTCATTTTAATTTGTATATATTTTTTATAACAAAAACAAGGCTTTGTTGGGCTACTGTATAAAACCTCAAACTCAACGCTATTTCTGACATTTTGAATTGAGAATGCTTCCTGGATGGGAAGCGAAATGTCTTCAAACTTGGAAACAAAGTCAAGTAGATTATTTTTAATTTTCTCTTTTTTTTTGGAATTTGTCTTTAAGACCAAATTTACACATATTTGCACAAAATCATCTACTTACATAGTTTTTACATTAATTCATTTAACATTAAATCAGATAACATAGTCCAAAAAATACTTTTATTTTCTTTAAAAAAAAATTTTATGACTAATTTTACTTCTATACACCTCTGATTATACAGAACAGGTTGTCTCTCTTGAAAATGTAATGGACCAATATTTTAGACCATTTTACTGTCAAACTAAAAACTGCTTAATATCAAAACTAATCAGTATAGGGTTATAATAGAGAGAGAGAAAAAAAGATTTTCTGACTTGAAATGCAGGCATTAAAAACACCAATACACCTCATAATTCAAAGCAAAAAGAGTCAACTTTAGTATCAATAGATGAAAGTTACTGTTTCTTGTATTAGTGTTTATTACTAAAATTTGGAGAACTATTTCCAAAATAAATGGATGAATCTTTAAAAAAAAAACTGTATCTATGCTGTCATTTAGACAGAACCTCTTATTTGGAAGCCCTTGCATTTGTGTAGTATCTCTGAATTCCGTTTTAATGAAAGTAGAAGATGATAACAACAGTTCACCAATAAAGAGCAATTTTTTCTCCTCCTAAAGAATGTATTGCATGTACTACATCGTTTTTACTTTACTGCTGTTGCTCTGTGTTGAGTAATTTTCGTACCTGGGATGGCCCAACCAGGCTTTGATTTAAATGCTATAAAGGTTCTGTGGCGGGAGCTCAAGAATAGGACCATAGTGATACTTTTGAAACTCAAAGACTTGAAGCTGATCACAAAAAGTACATTAAAAGTATAAATAAAAACATCTAAACATCTAAAAAAAAATTTTGGCAACAATGTAAAGCATTTTGCCACTTTGATGTCTACAAAAATATGTTTTTTTTTCTATTATTAAAAAGTGAGTGTATAATTTCTGATCTGCCACTTGTGTTAAAATAAAAAATATTTTTGTGTTTATCAAATTATACCTTCTGTACATTGTTCTGTACATTGTTCTGTACATTTCATTATATTCTATGATATAAACAAACTGTGGTGGGAAAAAAAAAGCCACAATAAATAACTTTTTCACACGCGCACTGATGCTTGTAGTCAAACATATAAAACTTTTAGTTTTTCTTTTCTGAATATTGTAATACCTGACCTTCTGGTTTAATGGTTCAAAAGATTGGACAAATATCTTCCATGTTTTCCACTTTTGCATAATCATTCATTTTAAAGAATAATGGAGTTCAAACTGTTTGAAAATTGTATTGAAATTGTTGCTGATGCTTTTCAAATTTGCCTCTGCATCATTCATATGCAGTCTCCCAAACTGACAGAAGGATTGTTTTTTCTTGAGGTTGCCACACCTCCAAGCAATCCAACATATATTATCAAAACATATCTGTACTTTCTCTCTTTGATCCTATAAAAACAGAGTGTAAGCATAATTTCTGTTAATTTGGTATTATTAATCTTGTTTGTGTTCTTTTCTTATTACATGGTCCAGTTGTTTGGAAACATAGCTATTGATGAGGAGGAAGAAAGTGCCATTGATGAGCACAACAACTTCAGAACCTTCATTATGGCCCTAATGCTGCTATTCAGGTAAGGCATATCTGGATTAGATTATATTTTCTATTTGTTTGTGTTTTGTGGTGGTAAAAATATAATGTAAAGTGGAGTTTATGGAAATTATTTGATGTTCAATTTGTTAAGATGCACTCGTATCATATATCTATATTATAAAAGGGATGATCACTTTTATGCCTTCTTGGCTGCTTACAAACTCTACCTGTATCGCTAAATGCAGGAGTGCTACAGGTGAGGCGTGGCATGAGATCATGCTGGCGTGCCTGGGAGAGAAAAAATGTGACCCAGACTCAGGAAACACAGGGAAGGAGTGTGGCAGCGTATTCGCCTACACCTATTTTGTCTCCTTTATTTTCCTCTGCTCCTTCCTGGTGAGAAATAATTTACCCATTTGGATTATCTTTCTTTTTTTTAACCTAAACCAGAAAATATTTTTTCTCAGTTTTGCTTGATCTTTTTTTATTGATCTTATTTTCCATCCTCCCAGATGCTCAATCTCTTTGTGGCCGTCATCATGGACAATTTTGAGTACCTGACCAGAGACTCGTCTATCCTGGGCCCGCACCATTTAGACGAATATGTAAGAATATGGGCTGAGTACGACCCAGCTGCCTGGTGAGTGGCAAGGACTCATGCTATTACAATTGCAAACATACCAACAAAATGTTTACATATATTACATAAATATTTTAATGCTCTCATTACCACTGAATTTTTCTTCCATCCCCAAATGGGAGAATGTTCTTATGGCAGACCTGGGATGATGAAACGTCATGTGGAGACAGTCGAAGCAAAAATGTTTCCAGGCTAAATCATTACTTTTTTAGCTTCCCCGCCTTCCTTTTTACTTCTAAAGTAAAGTTGTATGCTAATTGCATAAATGTTACCCACCCCCTTTTCTGTTTTATTTTTTATCTTTTGGGGTTTGTTGTTTTTTTTTTTGGAGTGAATTTAGAGTTCTTATCTTCTCTACATTTTGGTTTTCCTTCTTTTTCTTCTTCCACTCTGTTTCTTTTTTTCCCTTCTTTTGGATTCTGTATGCTCCCTCACCTAACTCCCCTCCTTGTATTTTTCTTGCAGCGGGCGCATACATTATAAGGATATGTACAGTTTATTACGAGTTATCTCCCCTCCTCTGGGTCTTGGCAAGAAATGCCCACATAGGGTGGCCTGCAAGGTTTGGACTAAACCTATAAAGCACAAACTTAAACGCAACCTGCTCGCCTTTAAGAGACTGGAATGAATGTTGCTCTTTATCACTATTAAGACAAGTTTTTCTTACTTTTTTTTCTATTTCCATTGGTTTGACTTCAATGTTTGGGTTTGCATTATCCAGTTGTTTTGAATTCATTTCACCATTGAATCATTCCCTTTTTTGGGATGGGGTCTGTTGTTTATGCATTCTGACATGATGATGAGAATGTTTGGGACAATGCAGAAATGCACACACACTCTCTTGCATACAGTCACAAACACACTAATAAAGGTGTGTGAAGCATGAAGTTATACACTGCACTTGCTAATGTCTTTTGATTGAACACTTTGGAAAAAATAACACTTTTGTCTCTTTTATTTTTTTAAATTTCTTCAAAATATGCTTAAGACGTCAGTCATTTGGTGTCTTTTCTTTCTGCTTGCTGTCTAAGTTTGCCTGGGCAGAAAATGACTGAGCAATGTGCATTGATCTGTTTGATTCCGGGTGGGTGGGTTGGGAGATTATATTTCACTAGAGGCACAGACAGAGAAGGTTTGGCCTTGAAACTTTCCCCTTTGATAAAGTTAAATATTTTATTTCTTACTGCTTTCAGAAAGTGAAACTCATTTGTTTATTATATTTAGTTTACACATAAAGTAAAATATTACTGCTTTGGAAAATATTAAAACATTTATATGGAAAGGTGATCTCCCAATCTAAAGCCACTAGGCCATGCAATCATGTGGGGGGATTGCTGAATTGACATCAGGAAGTTACTAACACCCAGCACTTTAAGACTGATAGAAAAGTTATTAGAATGACTTTTTCTGGTGGAGAGAGGAGCTATAGCAACATTGACAACTATACAGTCTTGAGAGGATTCTCAAGCCAATTCCGTTCAAGAAATTGGGAGAGCTTCATTATGAGTGAACTGAGGCTGGAGTCAGTGCTTTAAGTAACACTATACATAGATGAATCCTACGCAATGGCTATAAGTGTCTGACCTGGGCTAGGGAGAAGAAGAACAGGGAAGCTGCTTATTGGTCCAACGTTCTCTTCTTATCAATTCAAGTGGAATTCACATTTTACCTGCTTTTCTGCAGGAGTAGAAAAGCATTCAGGCTACCTGAAGCTCAATATGAAACAGTCAGTGCATATTTCAGTTGCCAAGTCATGTAAAAGTGTTGGTCCATTGTGTTTTCTGAAGTCCACAGTCAACACAGCATTATATATCGAAATATTAGAGTCATTTATTCTGACTTCTGCTGAACAGAAGTTGGTAACCCACACTGAAATTTACCAAAAGCTTGTGTGATAAGGGTGGTACTTTGCTCAGTTTGCCACTAAACTGGTCTGACATTCATAGACACTAGACCCAATAATTAGATGACCTAAAGGCTGCTATCAAAACAAACTGGGCATCCATTACAACTCAGAAGTTTCACAAGCTGGTCACCTACATGCCAGGGTACAATACTTTAGTGATTCCTGCAAAACAAGATCAAACAAAGTATTGAGTCTTGTGAAAGGAAGATAAATAAATGTATGCTTAAAAGTCCTTTTTATTGATGTTACAAAATAATAAAAATTTAAGACAACTGAATATGTGGAGTTCATTATCTGTAACCGATAATCATCAAAATTAGAAGGAATAAAGGTTTGACATATTTCACACTACAGTATGAGTAATGAATCTATATTTACTTTCATTTTTTTCACTTTTAAGAGATATCTGTATCTTTGAAGATATGTATATATTATTTAGATCTACATGTCAGTCATTTAACCTTGAAGGTCAGAAGATTTTTTTTCGACAACACATTATTACAACATCTACCCGTATAGTTGATTTAGAGGGGGGGGAAATGTCAAAACATTAGTGGCACCATTTCCAGTGGATAATCATGTCGTTACTTGTGAAAATATCTAGGCTTTTCTATGATTTTGCAGGTTTTGCTAATTGCAAAGTCTTTTTAGCATCTGTACAAGACATTGCATGCAATTATAGAAGTTTTGTTTTTATAGCTTTTCTACAGAAAAGACAAAGTATTTTAATAAGCAGCATGAGTCAATGCTGATCCAAATACATCAATTTCACCCCGATCTGACCATATAGAAGCTCTGATGCTGAAGTCATTTTTGTGACATTTTACAGCCAATGAGTTGCTGCCTATCAGGTTTCCACCTCTTATGATTATCATCACTAAACACACAGCACCAGGACTTTGTGTAAATTTCCATTTAAAACCTTGCCCCATACTCCAAGCAACTTATACGTATGTGTAGATTGGGGGGCTGATTGCTATGTCCCAATAGGACACCATATTCATTAGGGAATGCAACACAGTCATACCTGCAAGAGGCTGTAATGAACATTTTATTTTTAAGTGGGCCTTATAAACTCTTTCCTGGACTCTCCACCTAAATGCCTTACCAACACTACCTAGCTTATTAACATAGAAAGATTTATTGTCATCTTACAGGATATGAACAAAAACGTATTTGGGGAGCATCTCTTTAAGCAGCTTTAGCTTTCTTACACCGACAGAGTTTTATTTACACTTGCAGATGAATCTAACCATACTGAAATAACAAGGCCAAACCTCATCTGTTTGTATTGCTGGTAAAGATGGCAGAGGAAAAGGGGAAGGGTGTGTGTGTGTGCGATTTAGGGGATGGATTCCAAAGGTTTTGTGTCCACCAGTACCCTCTTATTAAATATCTGTGCTGACAGATGTTTTTGAAAAGAGTGTAAGTCAAGTCAAGTTCTGCACCGACCAAATAAGGAATTGTTCTGCTGCTGTTCTACCTCTTCTCAAACTAGATCGGCTGCTTCTAAACCCCAAGCCCAGTGGTTTCAGCGTGTTTTAAGACTGAAACGCCTTATTTACAATATTTTATCACTGTTTCCCCATGAAAATGACAGCTGCAGAAAACCAAACCTTCTTGTATCCATGTCCAAACAGAGATCATTTTGATTGAAAAAACATCGAACGTTTAAGATGTCATTGCATTGCTTTAATCTGAACGTTTTTGATCATGTGGTTCAGGAAATGAAGTCCTAATTTGGACTCAAAGTCCTTCAGAAATCCATGAGGGCTTTCTTGAACATCTGTAAGTGCAGCTATGTGTGGAGAGTCCCGGTGGACACGCGGCCCTAATAACAGACTGCATTGACTTATCACAGTGACTCATTCCGATTTCTGCAGTGGCGCTTTTCTCAGCCTGCTAGAAGCCTCGCTGTCAGTTCTATCCGAGTGGCAAAAGTGGGCAAAGACCAAAAGAATAATAAATAATCATTCCCTTTTCACCTCGTATAGAACGGTAACACACTAACTTACTTAACATAAATGACACCTCCTCTTTAAACCCTTTCTTGCCTAATTCTAATCTTTCTCCTTACCCTTCTTTTCCTCCCTCCACATTTCTGTAAAAATACCAGACTGTAAAGGGCACATAAAACACCCTCTTGTTCTCTATCGTTTTCCCTCTATCTCTTTTCTCTCACCACAGCAACCACATTTCCACAGTGACCAAAACAATAACCTCTGTGTATTTGTCCCCCCCTACCCTTCCTTTCCTTTGTTGTTTCTTTTTTTTTTACTCCTCGTGTTTCTGCCCCCAAACACACCTCTGTGTGTGTCCCCTAAATGCTCCACATTCCTACCCTCTGTTATGTTTTTTTTTTTTCATTTTCACGTTGTCTGTCTTCGTTTTGTCCGTTGTGTGTCAATGTGTGCGTGTTGAACGCATGTGCCCATGTGATGTCTGTGTGTTGTGGCCACTCCAGCGGTCGGATCAGTTACACAGACATGTATCAGATGCTAAGACACATGTGTCCGCCGCTAGGCCTCGGGAAGAGGTGTCCCGCCCGGGTCGCCTATAAGGTAGACTCGCCCCCACCTTACCCCTCCACCCTGTTGATTATTTTTCCCTTTCTATTATTCCTTTCTTTTCACATTTATCCCTCAATCCCATTTCTCTCCTTACTCCTCCCCATCGCCGGGGAGAACCTCTCTTTCACCAGCTGAAACCTTGCTGTTTCTCTCCTCCCTCTAATCACCCTCTTCCATCCACTGCCCCATCCTTTTTACCTCCTTCAAGTGGTGTTCTCCTCATTGTTTGTTAGTGGTGGTTGTGGTGGTGGTGGTGGTGAGCGATGTCCTCTCTTCTCTTTCTCCGACCGTGGGGATGGAGGGATGGGCTTTTGTTGTGCAGTCAAGTAAAGTGATAGTGGAGTGGCAGTGAGTCCTCTTTTATTTGCTCCTGTCATACCGCAGAAGTAAGGGAATGCGGGAGGTTTTGCCAGTCCTTCTGCAATCTGCACAGACTCATTCACATACACTTGGACACATACAAACAATACAAAACATTAGGCAATCAGCAAAATCCTTTGTGTACAACCAAAATAAACACCAAAGTGATAAAGATAGTTAAACATTAGAGGAAACTCAACACTTTAAATCAAGTTCTGCTGAATTTTCCCATATATGGCATCTGTTGGTAAAAAAACTAAAGCAATGTAGAATCTACACACAAAAAATATACTATATGAATAAAATATGGTATCTAACCTTATTATGTTTTTTAGTCAATTAGAAACTATGACTTGATTTACATTGGTGTTACATATAGTTATAGTGTCTTCATGCATAACAAGAGTAGCAACCTCTTCTGTGTTTAACACACAAACAGCAGTTAAAATGGGAATATATAACTCAAGGCAACATTCACACAGTTTGACTCTCTGCCTGCACAGCGGGTGCAGAAGGACCGGTGAGGGTTTCTGTCTTCAGTCTTCTGCGCCTCTTATTTCTGCGGATGACTTATAAGTTGCCGTAAACACATGCCCACATCCACCTGTATTCATATCAATGGAATTTTATTCAAGTAAAATCAGATTTAAAAATGTTTTAACCCTTCTTGGGGCTATGACCACCAGGAAAATGTTTCATGTTAAAAAATTTTGCATTTAATTTGTCTTTGTCATCTTTCTCTCTGTTCTTCTGTAAACCTATGCTCTTGCTCTATATTCGTGCCATCCAGGTTCACTAAAACAGCATTGTTAATAAGGCATCTAATGAGTTAAGATTCCTATTAATTAACAGTTCAACATGTTACTGACATTATTAATATTGTCTTACATGTTTAAAATGAAAGAGGCAAATGCTACAAGCCATGATCCAAAACACAGTAAAATTGATCCATTTTCCATCATGCTTTATCCCAGCTGGGGTCGCGAGGGGTGCTGGTGCCTATCTCCAGCTGTCTACTGGCGAGAGGCGGGGTACTCCCTACACAGGTCGCCAGTCCATCGCAGGGAAACACAGAGACACACAACTACTCACGCACACTCTCACACCTAAAAAGAATTTAGGGAAGCCAATGAACTTTACAGTCAAGTTTTTTGACTGTGGGAGGAAGCTGGAGTACCCACTTATGCTCGGGGACAACATGCAAACTTTATGTAGTAAGAGCATGGAAGCCTGGAATCGAACTTGGAACCTTTTTGCTGCAAGGCAGCAGTGCTACCCACCACGCCACTGTGTGGCCTAAGCAAATAAAATAAATTCAAAACAGTAATTTTAGTAGATATAAATGATGGGAAAACATGAGACTAGTAATTATAGAGTATTAATGGTTTAGAGAGAATGATCTTACACAACAACACAAATAAAACTCTAACCAAAAGTGACAGTGCTTTTTACATTAGTAGGTCTATATTGCATATGGTCTGCTGAAGGATCTCTCTGTCTGGAGAGTTTAAAGTTTTAGAAATATGCTATGCATGGAGAGGATACCAAGTCCTCCTGCAGCCTGCAGACCATCCTCACTGGCCTAGTTGTATGCAACCCCTTTGGGTGCAAGCACCACTAATTGAGCTGGGTCTACTTTGATCCCCTTAATTGACACAGAAACAATTGCCCCATTTATGTTACCCTTTTGAAACTGCCAAGAGCAGTCTGAGCTCGGAACTGAGATGATTGTTGATTTCATATGGAATGCAGCTTAACTGGACTGTGCCAGACACAACCGGGTTGTTGTGAACAGGTGAAGAGATCTGGATTTTAAAAATCTCTTCACCTGTTCACAAACTTCTTCTCAGGCTATTGACAATAAACAGCATCAAAAGAGCCTGGGATGATGCCAAGACAGAGGCTCTCAATGAAATTTTGGCGGAGCACGCTATCCAGGCACATAAGTTCCTGGATGATATGGGTGCCAACATTTTTGTCGTGTAATTTACGCCTTGAGAGCTGTAAAATCATGGACCGAGGAGGCGAGTAACGAAGCTAGACTGATGTGTAAATGGTCACAAGAACCAAGCTCCGCATGGTTAACTGATCCAATCTGGTCCGAACTCGGCTGGTATTGGTTTCAGAGGGGTAGTGTAAATGGGGCAATACAGAGTGCAGTTGTCGGCATGGAAAACCACATAGAATCAGGGAGAGCTAACCCTTTAAAAGTGGGGCAATAAGAATTTCGTCTGTCACAGATGATATGCATGGAAGATATATGAGAAAAGGCTAAGTGGGACTTGAGACATAGAAGTGGCTTGAGAGAGTTTGATTTGGACTCAAACTTCAAGGTGAAGGCTGAAATACGTTTAAACCTGGAAGAGGTTGAATTAACTGAAATTTACAATATGGTAAATTATTTAAAAGCAACCCACCTTTTAAGGTCTCTAGTGTTTATTGCATCTGGATGGATTATTTATTTATTTCTTTATCTTATATGAACCCTTTATTTGTCGTTCCTGCCATTTTCTGTTTAAAAAATGCTCAACTGCTCCGTCTTACTCAAGAGTCCTAATTTTTATTTTAATAAATTTTTCTTTGGTCTGCCTTTAATTTCAGTTTTTCTGTCCCTCTGCTTCTGTCTACTTCTTCAACAAATTGTCTGTAAACAATCACAAACATCATTTTTTCATCCTTTTGATCATCCAGACATACACTTTGTTTTACTGTACTCTTACTATTTGATCTCTCCACTGTTTTCTTGTTATAGTGGTTAGCTTATCCCTGGAGTACATTTCATAATGTAGTTCAGATTTTTAGGTTTATATTGAACCAAGTTGTATGAAATAGTTCATTTAGAGGTCCCTAGAAGATCAGGAAGATGTGGAATAAAAATGGGACAGTTCAAACTATTATTACCTACAAGGTTGATGTTCTTGATTTAATTTATAGTTGACAACATAATTCTACCTTAGAAAGAATAAAAACTTTAATTGATTATTGCTACTTCCTGAACTGACGTCTTTACCTATGTCAGTGTTGTTTTAGTCTTTGTCTCAATCTTTTGTGGTGTTTTGTAATTTTCAGCCACTCTTTTTCTCTTTCTCAACACAGACACACTTAGACTTCCATTTAACCCTAGAATATTAATATCTTTTCATTCTTCTTGATGTATTTCACTGTTTCCACAAACCTTCTCTCTCCCTCTGCATTCTTGACCTCCCCTTTTACCTGTAACTACATCTCATGAACAGTCCTACATTGACCAAGCTAGCTCTACTTACTGTCCCCATCATGCAACCCCCTTTATAATCCCTTTCTTCTTATCTTAGAATATTGCAGATGTAATGACTGGTTGGTCGAAAACAAAAATAAGAACAAAATAGAAAAAACATCATCTCTTATGCCCCTTAAGGTTTTTTTCTCCATTCAGACAATGCTGCAACTCAAATCCCTTTTAGTACTTAAATCCAGACAATGCACCCTTTTGGCATTGAGAGAGATCCTGGCATTAAATAAAGTGGTACTATTGTGGTTTGATTTGACTTTGATCAATGGATCACCAAATGAGAAATTATAGAGGCCAAAAAAATTACACGTAAATATTTTTTTTCCCAAAGGTAATTCCTGTGAATTGAGGATACTCTCTTTGCGTGGATGCACGGCTGCTTGTTTTGTAAAACTATTTATTCAAGTTGTGGGGAGTGGGTAGGGTGGATGAGTTGGGGCTTTAAATTATTTGAGAGTGAAGTGAAAGCATGTTGCATGTTTTGTTTGTTTGCATTTTGGGATTTTGACTCGGATTGTTGTGTGTCGTTTGCATGTAGTTTTTTTTTTTTGTTGCATGGCTATGGGTAACATAAAAGTTGTTGCATCCTGAGCCCTGCAAGTGTTGGTGGATGCCCTTGCCTACCATGTCACTTGGCTTGGGCATCCCCGACACTCATGCACACTCAGGAACACAGGAGCATGTACACAGGCCCGCCGCCATGTCGTGCCTTCCATCGTGAGTGCCCAACGCTCATGTTCGTAGGTAAATCGGATGGATGCCAGCTGGTCAGAATAGGTACAGCAAGCAACCCAAGCTGGACAAGCTTGCTTCGTCCTATCTGCAGTTTTCTCCATCTGTTTTACCAAGCATAGATATGTGAAGACAGGGAACCTCCTTACAGGTAGGGGGAGCTCAATAGCAGGTGCCATGGTTAAATGAAACAATAGCTGTCTCCTGAAAATGCAGAACTAAACCAGTGATACTTCTGTTGCTCTTCAGTCAATTGGTTTTTGTCTCCATAGGACTCCAATTAAGTTATCTTAATTGCAGTCTGTGAAAATAAGTGTTTAGGTGGGGAAAGAGGGTTGGATAAGGGTGGCAGCGGTGGGGGTTTGGGCACGTTGGTGTATGTTTACTGTCATATACATATATATTTATATATATAATTCTATATGTGTGCAACAACAGAAATGTGTAAATGCACATAAGCATTCACACATATAGGGAACATGGGCACAGGTTGGGTCGGATGCCATTTTGGCTCTGATTGTTCTTCCTTTGTGGTTTTGCAGCTCTCACAGTTGCTTAGCAGCATTGGATAGTTGTGCTGTCGTATAGAGTATCACTGCAGAAACAGGAGACACCAGGACTTACTTTTACAAGTTTCAATCGAGAAAATGCCTTTGCCTAAAATTACCCAAATTAAGTAGCATGCTTAACACATGAAAGCTAAACGTTTGCTGATTTAGCTGGTTATTTAAGACCTGATTAAGTTTAGTGACTGGAAGCGTTGTCTTTCTTGCTTTAGGAGATAAAACCTACAAACTGGGCGAATCAAGTTAAACTTTAACCGGCTGTTGTCTATGGAGCTCTCTCAAACCTGCCCCCTCCTCCTTACCCTTTCCCCATCCTTGAGATTTAGGACACCCCACCTTAGTGAGGACACCTCCCTTTCTCATCCTCTCATCCTGACTGGTTCTCCACAGAGGCTACTTCGCATGGATCTACCGGTCGCTGATGACAACACAGTGCATTTTAACTCCACCCTCATGGCTCTGATCAGGACAGCACTGGATATAAAGATTGCCAAGGGTATGATTTAAAATTTAACACAAATTATCTGTTTAGCTATATATGTGCATCCCAACTAATTCAACATTAACCTCAAATAATGGATTAATTACACAGAGAAATGTGAAATAAATGGACAAACTAAATGATCATCAGAAAAGAGGAGCACTGCCCAATAAAAAGTTCAGTCCTTACCTCTTTAGCACCAAAAAAGCTTTTGTTGTTGACCTTTCACCAGGAATTACTTAATTAATTCTACCTCAGATTAGAAGTATTTCCTCTGCTGGTGTTACACTTCATGTCACAAATATTGCAGCAAGTGTAATCTGTATTTTGAAAAGTGGCGCCATACTTTTGAGCACTTTCTATAAGCCATGCTTGCTCTATTGACTGTGTTGACTGTACCAACAGCTACTAATGTCATCACAACTTTCTGTATGCAATACTATATTCATGTCCGGCACAGAAAATTACCTAGTCTCTCTCTCCCTCTGTGTCACAGTGATGCATTAAATACCTAAAGATGGTACAGTTTGATCTTACCTTAATAGGTCCTTTTTAATATTGAGAGATTTGGTCATCAGCTAAAAAAAATACCAAATTCGGTACCTATCCCTTGGCTAAACATGAGGAATTTGGTCCATGAACTATGAGCAATGGCCAGAGTCTTCAATAAGAATTTACTCTCAGTACTTTCATGGATGATGTTATCCCAAATCTGTTTCAAACAATACAGGCTATAAAGGCTATAAACATATTTATTAGTTCAAGGCCCTTATTCATTCTGAAGGAATTGGATTGCTAACTTATCTAACTAACAAACAATGCTGGGGTGGTCTTAATTTCTCACCTCCCAACAGAATGTGTCCAAAAGCTGCGAAGTAGGTGGAAGGATAATTCTTGCCACAGCTACAGATTCAAGGAGCCTTCCATCGGGGCCCTTGGTTTAGGTTTTTGAGAGCCATTGCTAGGTCATGAAATCCAGGAAATTCAGCCTGAAACGTAAACTAGTGTTAGAACCTTCAGACTTGCTTGAGAGTGAGAAGTGCTCATAATGTATTGAATACTCTCAGGAACTACTCTGCAGTTGCTTGGTTTGATGATGGCTTAATACTTTTGTACACTCTCCTTCTATAATACTATAGAACTACTTTTATTTGAAAGTAACATAAATGCCCAGTGAATGGTCTTTTAACAACTGAATCTGCATAGTAAACCTGACCATGGGATTTGTGCAGTAGACACTGGACAGTTTGCTGGCCTGTCTTTGTAATGCTCATAGCTGACCGAACCAAGGCAGCTATATAATTGGTTGCACCGTTGGGAATCTCTGACAACCGACATCCAGAAAAAGGGGTGACGTTTCTTACCCTGTCCTTGGGGACACTACGTAGAGGCTCAAACTGGCAAGCAACTGGTTACAGGAAGCCCCCACCTACAGTGGATCCCTTGGACAGTAACACACACACTGCTGTTTTATGGTGATGATGAGGGTTCAGAAATGCAACCTTAATGGCTCTACCCTGACAGGAATTTCTTAACCAAGTCAGTAAATGGCCATTTAATCCTTTGATGTCAGCTTAGCACACTGTTGTGCCACCCCTCAGTAAATGTCCCCATTACACTTGGGGCAATGACATTCACTTTTCTAATTTTGCAGAGGTTTTTTTTTTTTTTTTTTTCTTGGACAGAACTTTCAGTGGGTTTTCCTATACAGTGGTTAAGTCCAAATCCATATTGCTCCTCCACCACCTTTTTTTTTGCTGTTACATTGAAAACAATATATGTACATCCAAATTTTCTGAAATAAAAAAAAAAAAAGTTGTTATGCCTTAAGTGGTCAGGTATTAACATGAAAATGACTAGAAATCAACATTTAAAAAAGACGACTCTGTGTAAATAATTCTATAAATTGGTTTCAGGTTTAAATTGAATTTTTCAAATGTATTATAGGGGTGGTGTTTTTTTTTATAATAGGCCAAATACAGAATGTTACTGTAGGTTGCAGTTTTTCTTCATTTCTTCTTTACAAACATAGTAGATTAAATCTCTGCCTGAAACAAACTAATTATTCTTCTGTTTTGGGGTGAATGTTTACACGTGTGAGAATTTATATCCATGGTCTTAATATGCTTAATTTGCCTCCCATGTGTATCATCTTTCCCTGGTTTTATATGTTTTTAATTTATGCCATGGATGCAAATATTCAATATGTATGTGGATGCTTGGTTGTGGGCTAACATAGGTGGTGCAGATAAGCACCAGATGGATGCAGAGCTGAGAAAAGAGATGATGGCTATCTGGCCAAATTTATCACAGAAGACTCTGGACCTGCTGGTTACTCCGCACAAGGGTAAGTTACAGGGAAACAGCTGGTGTTGGGCATAGTGGTGTATAGTATTTGTGTCCAATCACCGACTCACCAAGAGGACAGCTTATACCAGTCAGTGTCATTCACTGCTTTGCACCTCCTGATCAGAAATCTGCAGCATAAACAAATATTAGTGTTACTTAGTTCTTACATACATGTATACATCCAACAGTTAATTATACAATCCATGGTACATGTATCGTAACCATGCTACATGTCAGTCACAGTTTTAAAGTCAAACGTAGACTATATTAGCTGCAGGCCATCTAGTCCAGGGGAAGATGCTTGTGTTGTTTTTATTTGATTCTATAAGACCTACAACAGAGAATGACTTTATGAAGATGTTTTTCTGAACCTGTCTGTGATGGCAGCATTTTAAAAATATATACCGTGAAGAAACATGAAGGGCCAACTACTTACATTTCATCGATGGTCTGCAAAAGTTTAGGCTTTCGCAGGAAGTTGCAGAAGTGGTTGTTAAAGGTATTGGGCCTCATGTAGTCATATATTTATATGCTTGTTGAAGCTCACTTTAATTGCTTACAGTTTATGCTATAAAGTAACTTAGACTCTATATAAATGTCACCATATGATACAGCTTGCAATAGTTGAGTTTTAGGTGTAAATATCTGGGAGATAGGAAAGACAGACAATTTAAAGTGCTGTATGTGAAAGGAATTAGCATAAAGCTAATTAGATAATACATGAATAACACAGGTAGAAGTTAGTACTGTTTTACCTCAGCCTGTGCCTTGTGTTAAGGCAAAATAAAGATAAGCCCTTTTTTAACATTAGTGTAAAAATCATGAATTTAATAGTATCTTATATTGGTTGTTTAGCAGTCCTTACCTCAAACGAGAAGGAAAGATATTTTTATAACATTCCAAGTTTAACAGTAGGTTCTATAAAACCCTTTAAATAGCAAGTTGTTTGTCCTTCTCTTTTTTTCAGAAAGTTATATATTTAGCTCTCTGTTTAAACAGCCCATACTGGGAATTTGTTCACCATCTTTGCTGTTAAACCACATTGTTATCTATAAATTAAGATGCTGAACCAAGAATATAGTCTTTTGTTATACATACAAAATACACAGCCCAACTCTGATTATGTGTAACCACAGCACACACTACACGCACAGTAAACTGTACATGCATTTATTCAGAGATGCATTACAAATCCATACCCACACTAATAACCTCTCAATCCACTCTGTTGCTGGTATCAGGGGTGCCTGCTATAGAAGATCCTCTATAGAAGTCTTTTCACTACAGGAAAATAAAACTCAGTTGCATATGAGCTCAGCTGCTAATTTTAAAAGAATGGAATGCTAGTATATACTATACTAAACATACTATTATTCTGCATGTTTTGGAGTATAGACAACTTGTTACATGCATGATTGAATAGAATATCATCTATCTACTATTCTTTCAAAAGCTAAGTGAAATCCGACTGCAATAACGAGATGACTGTATAAATGGAAGGATTGTAGAATCAGTTTTGAATATGAAGGACAAAGCAGCCACGCCACTTTGAAAACTGCAATGGGAAATTTTAAAGATTTTGAAAAACTATTTAACAAGAAAAAAGCTCAATATTTTTCTTACTCTAAGTGTTTTTATGTTTTTATTTCTAAACTCTGGAACTTTAGGGCTAGAGTTTTTAGAAAAAAATTGAGCACGTGTTTTCTAGGAATTATTAGTTTACTTTGTCTGTATTTCTTAGTGAGGTGGCTTAATCGTCCCTAGCTCTAATAAACTTTGAGAACATAACTGTACAATAAAGAGAATGTTCACTATTGCATAAAGCACAAACTCTGCCTGTGAAAAGACTACAAGCTTTTCTGTGCTAATAACTGTACAGTGTTGTATTATTGTGTTTGTTTACACCAGCAATGGTTACAGCTATTTTTAGGATTCTTTAGAAGAAGAAAAACTTTGGTTGTAGCGTACCCTCCACACAGATTGCCACAACTGCTAACAATAAAAAAAAAAACTACATAAATGAAATACATTTATATTCTGAAATACTACCTTGGCATATAAAAATGCTGCCATTTTTAACAGCAGGTCTGTTTTGGTTCCCCCTCTTACCAGAAATATACCAACAAATAGTTCGAGTAAGAGTATTGCCTTCGATCCAAACAAAACCACTGGACTGTTTTTTCCAAGTTTGATGACGTTTCACTGCCCATCCAGAAAGCTTTCTCATTTAAAAATGGAGTAATGTGGAGCTCAAGGCTTTATAGAGTAGCCCAACAAAAGCCTTGATGTGGCTTAAGAAACATGCAAAATAAACCGAAACAGCTCCAACCCTTGTAATGGGTAGTCGTTGAAGTTGTTGTTGGCCTGCCATTTAAACTGAAACTGGCCCATGCCTCTGTAATGGGGAGTCGTTAGGGTCAGGAGCGATGTTTCGACCACCTGCATGGCAATGAGGATTGAGGTGATAGTGGGAAGGAAACTACTCAAAGCTGCGTTATAGGTTTTCGAGAGCTGTAACCTGAGCCCTCCTCCTCTGTTTAAGGTTGGTTGAGAATGACTAACTTGGATGAGTAAGAACTTCCACCAGCAGAAGGCAAATATTTTTTTTAGTATGGCTTTTTGAACATTATTTTGTAATGTAAATTATTTTTTATGGAGGTTTAATGATCCTGAGATGCAACTTTTTTGCCCAAGTTTTATGATCACAAGCTTTGGCTGTGTTTTGCTCTTTTTATGCCTTTCCTACTCTGTGAAATGTCAGAGTATTGTACCATTGCTCTGACAGTAGACATTAAGTTGAAAAGCTATTGTCTTGTTTTTCTTGTGTTACAAAGATCGGCATACAGCTTATATTTTAATGGTAAGATTATTTGCTTTCCTATTTTGAAGAGTGCCACATAATATTTAACCCCCAAAGAAACATCAAGTCATGGATTACTTATTAAAAACACGTTATTACACTTAAAACAATAAAAATGAGCATTGGCTGTCATTTTTTATATCATCTTAGAAGTAAAATTATTTGATTTATCCTATTCTATAACATTTATATATGTATAACGTATTGAATTATGCTGTATGTATCCTGGTTAGGAGACAAAATGAGTATAAAAAATTGGTTTGATTCCTTACCAGTCCTTGCTTTTCATTTTAGTTTTTAAACTTCAAACTTAGATTCTATTGGCGTTAAAAGAAAAAAAGATCACAGCTGTCACCATTGCTGATCTATTTTGCATGCTGTTGTATATTTCTCTGTGTTTCTGTGTTTTGTCCCCACTCCCATATCCCCCTCATGGCTCAGGGTCCCATCTCGCTCCGGTCTAATCTTCCAGGGTAACTTGTCATTTTTTCAGCAGCCACAGACTTGACAGTGGGCAAAATCTACGCTGCCATGATGATCATGGAATACTACAGACAGAGCAAGACCAAAAAGATGCAGGCCCTGCGAGAGGAACAGGTAGACCCCCGCCAGGCATCTCTGGGAAAGCTCCAACGTGCACAAACCTTTTATGTTCTTGTATTCTTGCTAGGCATCTTTATACGATACCTCTGCACCTTTGATTAAATGTACTCTGTTTGTTAATATGGAAATAATGATTAAAACATAGTTAAATTATATAAAGATGCTATTTCAACCAACCTTCTTTTGCTCTAGATAAATGCTCTACCTTTTTTTGTTTTTGCATGTATCCTAAAGTTTTATATAGCATCGTGTTGCACACTTGGTCTCCTTTAATCTTTTGCAAGTTAACCTTTTCTAAAACGTTGCAACCCTTTTGTTTTATACTGCATTACTTTTTCTCACCTTTCATGTGTTCTGACAGTAACTGCTTTTTTTCTGTTTTGTGTTTTGTTAATTTTTTCTAAATAATGATGATGATGATGATACCACATGGCCTTACCTTTTGTCAGTGCTCCTCCCTTCCTGTTAGTTGATGACTATGAGATGCACTCGCTTCCCACTGTGTCCATGTCTTTGTTCTTTTTTCGTTCATTATGTAATCAATTGGAAAACATCTCTCCACTCTTCTTATGCCTCCAAATTCCATGCAGAAATTTGAGTTGGTAATTACATGGATTTAGTCTGTCAAACGTCTGCAACCTTCATAATCATAACAGTTAAAAGACACAAACCCCACTTCCTAACCTTATCAGGGTACCATTTCTCTGTTTGCATTCTTCAGCATCTCACATAGCAGTCCCAAAAGAGTTCAGATCTTTACTTGAACTCTGATATATTCTAAAAGATGTCAGCTTTTCCTGTTCCCTTACAGGCAGAGGTTAACTAACATGATCAAACATTCAAAATGCATCTAAGCAAACTGCGTTTTGCCGATACTGTAGCTTCCTCTCACTTTGTTTTCAGTACAAAAGTCTTTAAGTTTTGAATTTTCTTCCTTCAACCCAATTCCACAAGATGGTTTTTATTACCAGTCCTTATTAATGGGTTGTATTCAGTGGCAAAATATGCTGCATATGGTGAACAAATTACACAAAAAGGGTAAAGAAATGAGAGTATGAAAGTCCAGTTTGTTTAAATTGTAACAATTTTACAGCAGTGCTACCCACTGCGCCACTGAGCAGCCCTTGTATGACAACATGTTTTTTAAATTTTTGCCAATGCAATAAAATTTCAGTAGCAATATAAACCAGATAAAAGCTTCAGAAAGATTGCCTAGAATGGCCGCAAGAGATCTATGTGAAAACTTCCGACAATTATTAGTTTATGAAACTCATACAATATAGCATTTTGGATATGGACTGTAAGGCATATTGAAATATAAATAATACTCATATTTATAGAATAAAATTGTGGTTATTATTATAATGGTATTGTTTCACAAAACAATGAAACCAAGAAATGAAACATCTGCATGCTTGACGATACTGCAGAGGAAAATCAATATAGAGTTGAAATTGCAATTTTGTCATAAAAAAAATACTTATTGTAAAAGAAATGTAATTCCTATGTCACAGTAAACAGATACATACTTTGTAGGGTGGAAGGTAGGTTACACAGCATGTTAGATAAATATATCAATAAGCAACTGCTGCAAATCAAATGCTTAAACGCTGCAGAACATTTCTTAAAGGTCCTCCACACACACTAAGCAGTCCTCTTTTTAAAATAGATATTGATGAACAAATTAAATACACATCTGCATTGATAAAGCAATTAGCCCAGCATGTTAGTATAGTTCTATTTAAATGAAAATGAGCACATGCAGCTGTAGATGCAGGTTGCAGACCCCTGATTACTGATTTATCTTACTTTTGTGAAATTTCTATTATTAAAAATAAATTAAATACAGCAGTGATTGGAGAGCATGTTAGTCCAATTTAAATGTTTTCCAAAATGTTTGATGTTACAATATCCAAATGTTTTGGTATATTTTTGCACTTCTATTGTACATAACCTCCGCTATGTCTTTTGCTCAATCCAACGTCATCTTGCTTTATTGTTTTCTGTCTTCAACAGTCATACATTGAGTTACAGTATGAAAGGATCAGTGGCGGCTGCTGCTTTCTGAAACAGGGGAGGCTCAATGGTGTTAACTCCAAACGTCACATTTTGCATTAACAAATGTTGAAATACATAAAACATATTACAACCAAGGGAGAAAATAGCTGTTGTGAAGCGCACTGAAATAATAAACTCCAGAAACAATGGCAAGAGTTCAGCACAAGATGAGTGTTCTGACTGAATCATTAGTTTTCCCTCTCAACTCAGGAGGGAAAAGATCAGTCAAAAATCCTTAAGTATGTTTGCTAATCAGCATCGAGCTTCACGACCTTCACCATCTCCTTAGATCCCTAAGACGTTTACCTCCCTGGGAATGACATATTTTGCCCTGTTATCCAATCTGGGCTCTACTTTAACGCTGCTTACCTCAATAGATCAATGCTCAAAACCCAACACAGATTTCTCACAGAGGCTGACAGGCAGAGTCCTGCTGCTCCAGAGCAGAGCGGAGATCGCGTCGGAGAGCGGAATGAACAGCTGATAAATGCGCAACATACTCATGAAATTAGGTGCATTTTAGTGCATATGTAAATCACTTTTATGACTAGATTTATGAAGTTTGACAACGCATATTTAATCAATAATTTCCTGAAATTTACAGGGGAAGTTTAGCCTCCCTAGTATTCAATGAGAAATCGCCACTGGGAAGGATGAATCCACCCAAAAAAAAAGATGAAACGTAATGACACAATTGACTTTGTTTCCTCTTTCTTATAGATTGATTATAAGAAGTATAAGTTTTGACTCAATTTATGTGGTCTGGATACTTTAACTCCTTATAGCCTCAGTACAGCTTTCTGTTTAACTCCCAACTCTGACGTAAACTAACAGAATTTTAGCCGTTGAAAAGTCGTAAGTGTATTTTTAGTATTCTATTAGTAGTATTTTTTGATTTAGAAAAATAAGTTGCGTATTATGCCAGTGTTTTTTATATATATATATGTATATGTATATATATAAATGAATAGTAACGCCTTAGAAATGAGTGTTACTTTCCCTGTCAGAGGTAAATGTCCATCTAATTCAATGGCTTTGGTTACCAGCTGACTGCTGGCTGATCATTGCTTGAAATATCAACTTGTTGGCTTTTAAGTGGAGCAGAATACACATTTATTAACCTATTATGAAACTCAAACTTTACCAGTGAGCGGTGGATTCTTTCTTAGAGCTTTCTTTTTGAACTTTTGTACCTCCATTCATTGTCTCGCGATACATCCCTTTAAAGGAAATCACAAATATGTGTTTTTTTCTTTTTAATGGTTTTGTCAATTTGCTTTTTTGTGTGTATGTCTAATTTTTTCATGTGTTTTGCTTTCTGTTATGAAGTTTTGTCGGCTTGTCCTATTTTTGTCTTTCTGACCATTTCTTTTTTCCATCAGGATGGTTATAAAACCATGTCTTATCAAGCTTTTTATCTTTGGCTGGTCCAGGTTGTACAGTCTAAAAGCCGATTTGTCTCTTCTTAAATATGTTAATTTTTTGGTGGAATGTTGAATGAATCTTGAATCCTGTGTCTCTATTTTCAAAAGCCACACTTTTGAAAATAGACGTATTTGGATACTGGTTATCAGCCATGATGAAATATTGTTATTGGATAATGATATCAGCTCCGATTTTCACATCGCTGCAACACTAGTTGCAATGTAAACTTTCACTGACAGCTAAACCAAACTAGAGAAAAAATTTATACTACAGGACAAACAACTATTCTCACACACACCTAAGGAGATTTTAGTCTTCATACCTAATACCTAATTAATCTAAGAGTCATGTTTTTGGACTGCGGGAGAAAACCCGAGTACCCGGAGAGAACTCATGCGTGCTCAGGGAGAACATGCAAACTCCATGCAGAAAGACCCCGGGCCGGTAATCGAATCTGGAGCCTTCTTGCTGCAAGGCAGCAGTGCTACCAACTAGTTTAAGCGGTTGACATTTGATATGTCTGATTGAACTAAAAGAGCTTTATTTTGTGGCACAGGTAGTTTAGAAACGTATGTCAACCTTCCACCAAGTTGCATGATTCCTAGAAAATCTGGCTGAAAGCAAATCAACAGGATGGTCTTTTTTTGGTAACTTTTTATCCTTTTCATGGTTTTTTTTTTGGTAATGTGCTCTAAAATATGTGAATTAAGAGCAATCTTAACTCAAACTCCAAGGTAGAAGTTCCACAGTAAGAAAGATCTGAGCTCAGCTTTCTACCTAAACATAAAGGAATGTGTCATAAAATGACACATTTCTGTTGTTCAGGCTGGACAGAGGAACTCTGATCAATTGTCTGGTGGCCAGCTTTACCTTGGAAATCCACAGCTTGCTGGTGGCACCCCCATGTGGGTGCATGCTGCGAGTGCATCCTGTGTTTGTGTCCTTATGTGTTCCCCCGTGAGTTTGCCTGATGCAAGCCTGCAGGCCATGTCATGTATCTCACACAGAACCGAACGCCATTAATGTTTCAGCGCATGGAGGCACCCTCTGAGGGAGGGGGTTTGGACAACCAGGGGGGGCAAGGCCAGAACGGTCTCCCCAGCACTCAACCAGACAACATCAACAGCATGTAAGTAGAGCAGGTGTAAATGAGGTCATGTCAAGTCTTCATGTGCTTGCATATTCTTTCAGTCTACTGAAAACTACTTGATTGCATCGACTCTTTGACTCATAGGCAATCCCTCACACTAAGCAAGCTTGTAGCGACACTAGAGAGGAAAATCTCCCCTTTAACTGGAAGAAACCTCCAGCAGAACCAGACTTGGTGTGAGCGACCATCTGCTGAGGCCAACTGGGGTTTAAGGAGACAGAAGTAGACTAGAAAAAGAAGCAGAGATACAAAAGGCCCCGTCCAGGAAACACACAGCCAGGCAGACGTGCTCCAAGTCAGCTCCCATATCAGAGGATGAAGAGAGCACATCCAGCCAGTCACAGTCAGAGAAACAGGACTACACTGAAAAACAGGCTTATCTTGAACTTATATAAACAAAGGTGTTGATGGCAGCGGCACAGCTGATATTTCTTTCCAGGATTGTGTCACAGCCAAACAGGACCAGACCAGATGAAGCTACTATGAGAAAAAGCAGAGAGAGCATAACATTAGAGATAAAACTAACAAATTCTGCAGAGTGAGAAAATAGAGATAGAATGAAGCAGAATTATGAAAAAGGGGTCCCTATGTGTTCCAGAAGTCTAAGCCTATAGCAGCATAACTATAGAGATAGCTCAGGATAACCTGAGCCACTCTTAACTATACGCTTTATCAAAAAGGAAAGTTTTAAGCCTAGCCTTAAAAGTAGACAGGGTGTTTGCCTCAGGGACTAAAACTGGTAGGTGGTTCCACAGGAGAGAAGCCTTATAACTAAAAGATCTGCCTCCCATTCTACTTTTAGAAATTCTTGGAACCACTAGTAAACCTGCAGATTCAGAGCAAAGTGCTCTGTTAGGAACATAAGGAACAATCATGTATTTGATATAAGACGGAGCTTGGCCATTTAAGGCTTTATATGTGAGAAGGAGGATTTTAAATTTTATTCTGGATTTAACAGGAAGCCAATAAAGAGAAGCCAGGATAGGAGAGATATGATCTCTCTTTTTCATTTTCATCAGAACTCTGGCTGCAGCATTTTGGATCAGCTGAAAGGTTTTAACTACAGTTTGTGGACTTCCTGACAGTAAAGAATTACAATAGTCCAGCCTTGAAGTAACAAATGCATTGACTAGTTTCTCAGCTTCAATCCTGGACAGGAGATTTTCTAATTTTTGCATTATTGCATAGATGAAAGAAGGAAATTCTAGAAACCTCTTTGATATGGGATTTAAATGACAGGTCCGGATCAAAGACAACACCAAGATTTTTTACTTTATTGTCTGAGATCAATTTAATCCCATCCAAGTGACTGACTAATCAGCTTCTTTTTCAAAGACTCTGGTCCAAAGACTGTACCTTCTGTTTTGTCTGCATTCAGGAGCAGAAAGTTAAGAGTCACCCAAGTTTTCATGTTTTCAAGACATGCCTGTAATCTATGTAATGGATTTGCTTTATCTGGATTCACAGACAGATATAGCTGAGTATCATCATAATGGTGTTTATCATCACTGTTGTATAGTGGTATTACTTTTTCAATTTTTCAGCTCATCCAGGATGGCACATCAGTGTGAGTTGTAACAAGACAGTTTGCTGTGTTAGTCAACATATTGTCCAGAGGCTGGAGACGTTACAAGGAGACGGGCCAGTTCACCAGGAGAGGTGGAGCAGACCGTAGGAGGGCAACAAACTAGTAGCAGGACCGCTATCTCCGCTTTGTCCTAGAAGGAACAGGAGCACTGCCAGAGCACTGCAAATGACCTCAAGCAGGCCACAAATGTGCATGTGTCTGCACAAACTGCTAGAAACTTACTCCATGAGGATAGTATGAGGGCCAGACGTCCATTGGTGGAGGTTGTGCTCACAGCCCAACACCGTGCAGGATGCTTGGCATATGCCAGAGAACGCCAGGATTGGCAAATTAGTCCAGGTCTAGGAGGAGATCCCTCAGAACAATATCCGGTACCTCATCAGGAGCATGCCCAGGCATTGTAGGGATTCATCAAGCATTTGAATGCTGCACACAATACTGAGCCAAATTTTGACCTGTTTTAAAGACATTATATCAAAGCTGTATCAGCCTAAAGTGTGTGTTTCATTCATTCATTTAGATCTAGGATGTGTTATTTGAGTGTTCCCTTTTATGTTTTGAGCGGTGTAAATGTGCATATATATATATATATATATATATATATATATATATATATATATATATATATATATATATATA